CAATATATAATATATAATAATATAATTAAGTCAAAAACTATTCAATATTGGACTCATTTCGAAGGTATTAACGAGACGATTATAATGGTGTAACTTGTTAAAATAAAAATGTATTTTTTACACATATTTTAATTGATATACGATTATATATGTTAATTTGATAAATGTGTAAAATAAAAAATTTAAAAATAAAGGACGTAAAGTAAATTAATTAACTAATTATAAGGATATGAAATGTAAATTTAATATTTTAATTTTAAAAAATTGGGTTGAATGTGAGGGGGGTGAGTATGTGAGGAGAAGAGTATATGAGAGAAGGGGATGAAAAAACGAGCTCAAGGGATATCAATATCAACCCCCTATAGTTTTTGGCCCCACTCTCTAAAATCTTATCACCAATTTTCTTCAATAATTGGTGGTACCAGCTTCCACGTATTGATGAATCCAAAAACTTAACTGTAGATCCTAGAGGTATAAAAAAAAATCTGATGAGGAATAACGTGCTTGAACCAAAAGGGTTTCGACTTATTCAGTTTATGGGGTTAAATGGTTCGGTTAATTAAATAAGGTAAGTTTCCTTTTAACATTTTGGTTAATTGCTATTATTTTTTATATATATTTTTTCTAAAGGAATTCATGATTATTGGGCATATAGAAAATTTAACCTTAGGTGAATTGATTTATAGAACAAGCCCCAAATGACTGGATCAACAAATATAAATAAAAAATTATAGAAATCAAAACAAAAGACAACTACAACAGAAAACATATAATAAAAAAATTATCTGAGCAATACTAATTAATTGGTAAAAGCCAAAGAGTAAATAGCCAAGAATTAGAGGCTTAATTAGACCATAGATCAGAAGATGTAAAACTCGAACAACAGTTGTCATAAATGATTGAAGGAACCAAGGATATAAAAGTAAAAAAACACACAAATTTTATCTAGGTTACTTAAAAAATTGACATTTGATTCGGGTCTTTCCCCCTCCCTCTTTCATGCAAGTATGTGCTTGCTTGCTTATATCTCAGTTAATTCTATAAGGCTATGAAAATAATAGTCAGGAAAATCTACAGTAGTTTTAACGAGACTCGAACTGACGATTTAAAGCAGCGTTGACTTCTACAAGATTATTTGATAAAACTCTTAAGTTCTGGTTTTTAAATATCAATTGCGCTAACCTTCAAGGTCATTTGATGGAATGTAGCATATGTATATCTAGAATTTACAACTTAAAGCATTAAACAACTTTTTGTTACGAGCCAAATATTACCTGATTTTTGGATACTATCCAAATTTGACAAAAGTAAAGTTGTTTTTAAGCCACACCCCCTACCCTATTGACACAACACCATGGCTTGACTGTCTGATGCCATTTCTTCCCATTTCCCATTTGGCTAAAAGTTGCTAATCAACTTTTTCATGATTGTATCGTACGCGAAGCATGGTATCATAAAGAGAGTTAAGCTAATAAATGGAAGAGGATCTTCATTCTTAATCATCTTTAACCTCAAATCCATAAAGAATCATGCTTAATATGAGGATTAATCCGGTGCATCTCATCTCGGTGCATCTTATCCTAACGTGCATCCAAGGGGATATCTCATCTTACAAGACTCACTTTAATTCTCATTCTCATCGGAATCCAACCCTTGCATCATAATACTTATTTTGTTTTATTAGCACACACACAAATATATATAGAGGGTCAGGAGAAAAACGTAGAAAAATAAAAACTGAAGAATACTCTGGCTACCTTTCATCTGAATGGTATCACTGCAACAAAATTGATTCTATAGGAT